TCAGTGCTCTTCTAAACTCTGCAAAAGTCTTTCCTTACACCTCAGTTTATAGAAATCTTGGGAAGCAGCCCATTCGGTTGTAAGGGTTTGGAAAGGTGTTGTGATTTGCTTATTTTGTTTTCTTTGGCTGAGTTTTTCCAGGCTTTCCCCCCGACAGAAGGCAGAAGGTGTTGGGCCACAGCACCCTTCACCCAGGCCACACTCAGAGTTGCCCTTCTCCCGTAACAACTGCTTTTTTCCCAACTGAATTGTATAGCTGACTTGCCCTAGGAGAAGTTCATTTCCAAGAAGCTTCTCTTGAAAGGCCCCCGGTAGAGATGACCCTACCATTCCGCCAGACCTGGAAACACCTTTATCCTGTCTTCTTGTGGGCTGGCAGGCCAAAAACATTCTGGGGCCTTTGTGGCACTGTCCAGAGTAGGAACACAAAGGATACTGGGACCAGCCAGGATCAGAGCCCGGAAAATAAACCCAGCTAAAGAAGAGCGAGACCCAGCTAAAGAAGAAGAGATTAGGCCCCTCCACAGTATTCCCAGGGACTGAGTTTGATTCCAGCTAATTGCATGCACAAGGAAACTCCCCAGGTGAGCAAAACCCAGCTACGGAGGTCAAGTCAGAGCTGTACTATAATTTGGCCCCTGGCAGCATGGTCTCTGCTAATGGTAGCCCTGGGTGTGGAGACTGGTAAAAGATTGGCTAGAGTCCCAGCCCAGCCCTCCAAGCAGGCTTCAGATAAGGCCCTAACACACCAGGTACAGAGGTGGTCCCTGAGGCTGGGAACTTGGGGAGAGCTCTCCCCAAAGCAGTGTCAAGGGCCTGCTCAAATGGAAAGAAGAAACTAAGGTCAGAACAGGGAAGATTGAGGTTGTGCCTAGAGCTCAGGGGGCAAATGAAGCACACACACAGGTCACTAGCCAGCGGAGTCCAGAGAAATGGAATGATAAAGTCAGAAGCCATGAGTGGACTGTGGCACCCACTGCATGCTCCTGACTCAGACTAGGGTTTCTTAAAGTTCCTTCATCTGATTTAGAGTACCTGGAAAACCAAGGCAGAAGCTCAGATGTGTAGACAGGACTTACAGAGTGAATTTAGGAATGACGTAATTGCTGACGCATAGGCTTTGAATTAGAAGCCTTGAGTTCAAATCCCAGCTCTGACACTTAGTAACAGTGTGACTTTGGGCAAATTAATCTTTCTGTATCTTTGTGTCCGCCAGTAAAGAACCTCATAGGTTCTTTCTAGGGTCCTTTTAAGGATTTGTAAAGTTCCTGTCCTGGTGCCTGGCACATAATACACACTCAAACACTGAAGGAATATGGTACATGGCCTAGTTGGCTAATAGCAGCACAACCAACTCTGGTGGGGCTAAGCCGGTTGACAGTTTGCCTTCCCAGACAAGAAGGCCTCAGGGATTGGCAAGCTGTCCTGTAGATAGGGGTCTCACCACTGAGAGAAGGGGCTCTGGGAAGATCCTGCCAGATGGGGGTGGTGGGCTGGGAAGGAGAGCCCTTCATAGAGTGCTTCAGAGCATCAGCTGGTCTGGGAAGGTTGTTTTGAATCACAATATAAGACAAATACCCATTCACATTTTCCTTCTAGACTCAGGGGTACGGTACGCCCACAGCCAGGGGCACACTTCAGAGTCAAGGGTTAAGCCAGACATGGCTGTCCATCTGCTCTAAGTTAGAGCCTCACATGTGAACACTAGATCTGTGAAATGCAGTCCATATATTCGTTTCAGAATGTTTGTGGCTCTCCCGTAGTTAATATATATCTATTTCGTTATTGCTGTGTCCTTGGGAGTGACTCTGGTTTTCTGTCTGGGCCAGCAGCATTAATACCCTTAATCTGTTTTGGAACATGCCCTGAGTTTAAATTAAATCGATGCTGCACTGAGTGTGAAACAGGAGAGATCCTGCTGTTCTAAGTCTGGGCTCCACTGAAAGAGCCCATCCTTCACAGCTTGAAAACCAGGAATGGATGATGCACCACACAGACACCCCACTCCACTCCCCAGCCTTACTTCCTCCCCCTCTACTCCTCACACCAAAGTCTGCCTGTTCCTCCAGTGGGCTATACACCTCGTCTGCCTTTGTGTCTTTGTATGGGCTCTTTCCTCTGCCCCAAGTGGCCTTCCCTCCTTCTCTCCTGATGGACTCCCCTTCAGCCTAAATGCCCCAGCTTGACTTACCTTTCAGAATCCTCTCTGTAGACCTCCTCAATCCCCTCGTCCTTCTTTGCTCCTACGCATTCTCTGCACACCTCTCTTACTCACCTTCTCACCTTGTAACTTCTCCCCCTGTAAGCCCTTTGAAAGTGGGGTATATGTCTTACTCGTGGTGTCCCCAGCATCTCGGGGATACTCTGTGTCCCCAGCATCTATCATGGTGCCTGGCACTTGTTTGGTACACATTAAAAATATATGAATGATGACTACAGCTTTGTAGTATATCTTGAGACCTGGAATTCTGATACCTCCAGCTTCGTTCTTCTTTTTCGAGATTACTTTAGCTATTCGGGGTCTTCCATGGTTTCATACAAATTTTAGTATATATTCATCCTAGTTCAATGAAAAATGTTATTGGTATTTTGATTGCACTGAATCTGTAGATGGTTTGAGGTGGTATGGACATTTTAACAATATTAATTCTTCCAGTCCATGAGCATTGGGATATCTTTCCATTTGTTTGTGTTGTCTTCAGTTTCTTTCATCAGTGCTTTAGTTTTCAGAGTGCGGGTCTTTACCTCCTTGGTCGCATTTACTGCTGGATCTTTTATTCTTTTTGGTGTAACTGTAAGGGGATTGTTTTCTTAATTTCTCTTTCTGCTACTGTCTTATTAGTGTATAGAAATGCAACAGATTTTTGTATATTAATTTTGTATCTTACAGCTTTACTGAATTCATTTATCAGTTCTAATAGTTTTTTAGTAGAGCCTAGGGTTTTCTATACATGATATCATGTCATCTGCAAATAGTGAAAGTTTTACTTCTTTCATACAAATTTGTCTTCCTTTTATATTTTTTTAAAGATTTTATTTATTTATTTATTTGACACAGAGAGAGAGAGAGCACAAGCTGGGGGAGCAGGAGAGGGAGAAGCAGGCTCCCCGTTGAGCAGGGAGCCTGACGCGGGGCTCGATCCTAGGACCCTGGGATCATGACCTGACCTGAAGACAGATGCTTAACTGACTGAGTCTCCCAGGGGCCCCCTTTTATATCTTTTTTTCTGATTGCTACAGCAGGACTTTCTTACTATGTTGAATAAAAGTGGTGAGAGTGGACATTCTTTTTCTAATCTTAGAGGAAAAGCTCTCTGTTTTTCACCACTGAGTATCATGTTAACTGTGAGTTTGTCATATATGGCCTTTATTATGTGGAGGTATGTTCCCTCTAAGCCCCAAAAGGTATGGTACTGACACAAAAACAGACACATAGATCAATGGAACAGAATAGAAAGCCCAGAAATAAACTCATGCTTATCTGGTCACTTAATCTATGACAAAGGAGGCAAGAATATACAATGGGGAAAAGACAGTCACTCCAATAAATGAATGCTGGGAAAACTGGACAGCTACATGCAAAAAAATGAAACTGGACCACTTTCTTACACCATACACAAAAATAAACTCAAAATGAATTAAAGACCTAAATGTGAGACCTGAAACCATAAAATTTTAGAAGAAAACATAGGCAGCAATTTCTTTGACATTGGCCTTAGCAACATTTTTCTAGGTATGTCTCCTCGGGCAAGGGAAACAAAAGCAAAAATAAACTATTGGTACTACACCTAAGTAAAAAGTTTTTGAACAGTGAAGGAAACCATCAACAAAACAAAAGGCAACCTACAGAATGGGAGAAGATATTTACAAATGATATATCCAAAAAAAAGGTTAATATGCAAAATATATAGAGAACTTCTATAACTCAACACCAAAAAACCCCCGCAAATAATCCTATTACAAAACGAGCAGAGGACCCGAATAGACATTTTCCAAAGAAGACATACAGATGCCCAACAGACATATGAAAGGATGCTCAATATCACTTATCATCAGGAAAATGCAAATCAAAACCATAGTGCAATACCGCTTTACACCTGTCAGAATGGCTAGAATCAAAAACACAAGAAATAACAAGTGTTGGTGAGGATGTGGAGAAAAGGGAACCCTCGTGCACTGTAGGTAGGAATGCAAACTGGTGCAGCCACTGTGGAAAACAGTATGGTGGTTCCTCAAAAAATTAAAAATAGAAATACTATATGATTCAGTAATTCCACTAAACTCCAAAGAAAATTCCAAAATTCCAAAGAAAAACGAAAACACTTAATTTGAAAAGATATATGTATCCCTATGCTTATTGTAGCATTATTTACAATAGCCAAGTTATGGAAGCAGCTCAAGTGTGGTATAGGTGTGTGTGTGTGTGTGTGTGTGCGGGTATACACACACACACACACACACATACTTGATGGAATATTATTCAACCATAAAAAAGAGTGAGATATTGCCATTTGTGACAACATGGAGGACCTAGAAAGCATTATGCAAAGTGAAATTAAGTCAGACAGAGAAAGACAAATACCATATGATTTTACTTATATGTGGAATCTAAAAAACAAAAAACATGAACAAGTAAAAAAAAGACTCTTAAATACAGAGAACAAATTGGTGGTTGTCAGAGGGGAAGCAATGGGGGATGGGTGAAATAGATAAAGGGGATTAAGAGATACAAACTTCCAGTTATAAAATAAATAAGTCGTGGAGATGAAAAGTACAGCATAGGGAATATAGTCCATAATATTATAATAACATTGTATGGTGACAGATGGTGACTACACTCATCCTGGTGAGCACTGAACAACGTATAGAACTGTGAATCAATATGTTGTACACCTAAGACTAAAATAACACTGTATGTTAATTATACTTCAATTTAAAAAAAATAAAAATATGTATATGGATGAAAACCAAAGCATTCTTTTTGTTTCTTCTTCCTACAGAAACGATGACTATTGGTAAGAGGATTGTTTTGTGCCAAGGACACAGTGGGACAACCACCTTACAAAGATCTTAAGTAACTTTTCCCATACAACAACACCCGGACGACTCCAGTGACCAAATGCTGAGCTGTAACCACAGCAATAACTGGCCCTCTTTCTGAATTAGGTTTGGTGAATATGAATGGTCTGGCCATCTTTCAGTGGCCTAAGGTGGTGTGCTACGGGGGAAGCACGACTGTCATGGCCAAGAACCAAGATCGGACTATGGAAGAAACCACGTGACGTAGTGAGAATACTAAGAGTACCCTAGAGCGCTAGGACTCTTTGTGATTAACGTGAGGCCCTTGGTGATGGGGTCATAGCTCCTGCCCTGGCAACGTCATTCTGACACGATGTTATTTGCTTGAATGCCCTGGAAGGACAGAATATTTAAAAGTGTATCCAGGTGCTAAATAGGCAGCGGATCTAATTCACACTGGACTACCTTTGAGCTGATAACTGTCTTCAGAAAATCATGTTACCCCAGGAAGTGCCCCAGCTTTGCAAGGAATAGCCCCAGGAGAGTAAGAGGATACGCAGGCTGTTCCCCTGGAGAAAATCTGGTGCAAGGAGGGCTGATTCACAGCAAATTCACTGCCCCCTCCCATGCACATGGCAGAGAGGACCGGTTGATCATAACCCTTTCTTGTGCTAAACCCAGATTCTGAGGAGTCAGAATCCCAGACAGTATTTTCTAGATGGCCAGCAGCCACTTCCTGGCAACTGGTGTTGACATTAGAATGAAAGTTACTTGCCATCTATGTTAGAGAGGCATGCGTCTCAGTGGCGTAAGCGTTCTGGAATACCCTTTTCCAGGCATAGCTGTCCACTGGGGAACAGCCGCAGGTGTACCATTGTGTGAGATAAGTTGACGGAGAGGTAACACAACCCTCCCCCTGAGGAAGGCACCACTTTGGGGTCTTCTCGGCCTGCATGCTCTCTGGGGTATTTCCATATGCAACAGCCTGGAGGCATTAGCCGTGGGCAGCCACAGACAGGCTTCCTTTCACTTCCAGACACATATATCACTTTCACAGCACTTGGGGAACGGAGATACCTACAAGAGTGAAGGTCAAGGGCTCTCCCCAGGTATCGCATTCATTACTCAGCTTCCTCTGTGACCCCATCAGCCAGCCCACCGCCGGCTCTGCTCCTCATCCTCATCGCCTCTGCCTCCATACAAAGGAAACCAAAGGCCTTAGTGTCCCTTGGGGCGGGGAAAGAGGGGTGGCCGTTACCTAGTGGCCCTCTCTCTCCCATTATGAGTGCAAGGTGCCCCAAGCACACATTGCACCACTTCTCTAAGATAACGTCCTGGGAAGCTCATTGTCTTCATTTGAATTAACATTTCACTGTGGGACTGCGTGGGTGGAAGCAGGATCATTGCATGTCTTCAGAAAGTTCTTACTGCCGCAGCTGCCTGGTGTAAGACACTCGACCCTGATCTCACATCTGAAAAGGAAAGAGGCCTTCGGTTGTGTGAGGCAGTGTTACTACACTCCAGCTTCCCGCGTTCCCCAGCCTGCCTAGTCCATTTCCATCTCTGATTGGCTTTCAACCACCAGGATCCAAAGAGAACCCAAGGTTCTGCCAACGTCCGATGATGTGAGAAGAATTTGACTTTCCTTGCCCAAAGTTCCACCCTGCCTGTTCCTCCCCAGTCAGACATCCTCCACCGTACCAGTGTTTCGAACCAAAGCGTGAAGGACATGTGCCAGCAGGATAGCCAGCAGAAATACTGTCTCTAGAGCCAGGCAGATGAGCCCAGAAGAATGGTCCCAGAGAAACCGGACTGGCCCCCATAGGTATCAGGCAGCCATTCCAATAAACTTGGCCCTGAGAGCCTGGGTAGGAGATCCTGGGGCAGCTGTGCCTACTGTTGCCCCCACCCCCGCCCAACCCCCCAAAGATCTTCCTGCCCAGAGAGCTAGCAGCCCTGGGTACTACTGAGTCTGTTACTGGCGGGTTTGTACGAAACGGAAGGTGGCTTTACAGGGGCCAGCAGGCAAAGAAGCCTGTCTGCGTGGCAGGCAGGTGGCTTTGTGTCTAGAAAGCTTTGCCCAGCCAGTCCAGCTGTGGCCAGAAGCTGCTTTTGAATTTGAACTCCCTGAGCCCATCTGCAACTCTGTCTCTGTTCTCTTGCATTCTGTTTGGTTTCCCTTTAGTTTCCTAGTAAATGTTCCTTTTGAAAAATTCCAACCTTGTCTCATTGAACTTGGGGGGGAGGGGGTTCTCCAACATCTTTCCCAGAATGGAGAAGGAAATTAACATGCCTTGAAAAAATGGAAATGGCAGTGAGAGGGTCAGATCTTAGGAAAAGTTACCTTGGGGAGAGCTGGTGTCAAGAGATGGGAGAGGCCAAGTGTCTCCCCCACCCACCTGGCACGGATTCTCAGCCCCTTCCTCTCGCTGCCTTTGTCTTCAAGCTGATCTGCTTTGGATGCATGTAGCTGCCAAAGCATCTCCCCACCAGCGCACTGGGCACATTTAGCGGGTGATATGATGTCCAGGAAGTACACTGCTGCGTGACCAGAGGAGGAATAAGGGAGGGAAGGGCAGGAGTGGTTTCTATAGTGTGGTTTCTAGAGTTTTCAAAATGCTCCAACATCATGGCTCTAAATGGAATGACTTAGTCCTCATGATTACCAATAGAACTAAATTTCTATGAAAAGAAGAAAGTCTTGCATGTTCTCATACTTAAGCCGAGGACACTGACCAAAGACAGACACGGAAAGCTCTCCTCATGGCCATCCTGTCGTGCGCCTGTGGATGTTGCAGGTATCTGTTGCTGCACAACAAGCACTACAGAGCTTGCTGATTTAGAGGGAAAGTTATTATCCTTCATGGTTATGTGGGTTGGCTGGGCTTAGGTGGTTGCTCTCTCTTGGAGTCTCGTGGCTGCTCTCAGATGGCAGCTAAGGCTGCATCTGAATGCCTCACAGGGTAGAATATTCCTGATGGATTCGTCACTCACACGTCTGGCTCCTTCTCTGGAATGACTGGAACAGCGGGATGCTGGTTGGGCATCTCTTGCCACAGGATTAGCTTGGGCTTCCTCACAACATGGAGGTGTCAAGGCGGTCAGACTGTTTGCATAGCACTGGCTTCCCCCAGAGCCAGCATTGCAAGTGGTCCCAGTAGATGCTGCACGATTCTTCTAAATAACCTTCCAAGTAACAGAGTCATCCCTGCCACACACTGCTGGTCACGAGCAAGTCATCACATCGGGCCAGCCTAGATTTGGGGGAAGGGATTACACAAGAATGGAATCTGAGCAGGTGTGGCTCACCAGGGCTACTTTGGAAATAGCAGGGGCTGAGTGGAGAGGGAGGTGACACTGAGTCAGAGGGCTTCCTGGATAGCTGTCACTTGAAAAGCATATGCAATGCTTAACCTGCACATGGGTGGGGTGAGTGGGGCAGTTATAAGGGGGAGAGCGGGAAGGGCTATCCATGGACACTGGCATAGAGCAAAATCTAAAGAGAAGCAACTGGTTATCACTGATACAGAACTTACAATGTCACAAGGAACTTTGGAGGAAAAATATGATTATCATCATTCTACAGAAAGCTCAAAAGCTTAAGTTGGATGCTTTCCTCTCCCTTCATCTCTAAGCCAAAGGGACATGGGCCACAAAGGCTGTCCCCTTATGTCATTGCTAAACTCCATCATAGGATAGATTTCTTCATGAAGGCTGGAGGAGCGTTGCCAGACTGTTAAAAAAGTATATTTAACAGTAAGAAGGTTATCGATGATAAACACCACTGCATCTTATAGTTTATAACACATGGTATTGCTTTTTCTTTACTTTTTGAAAATTCAACTGTTACTCCAAACAGTAAAGGTAGTAAAAAAAAAAAAAAATTACTGTCTTCTTGGCTCAATACTAAATTTATTATAGCTATTAGTCCAGTAATTATCAATTGCATTAAAGCTATTTCCAAACTAGCATCTGACAGAGTAATACTAATAGTTTTTCCTATCAAGTGAACATCATCTGAAGACACTGATTTTAGCACAATTTAGATAAAATTCTTTTTGCATGGCTGCAGTATCTGGATTGGAACTTATCAAAGAGGGGTAATTTCTCTAATTTACCAAACTCAAAGCTGTCAGAGAATAATAAATACCTGAAGATACTTATGTTCAGGGCTTCACAGATGAGCTTATGGACTATGTAAACTGGTAAATAAACCTTCCAGAAACAAGTGGGGTTTTTAATATTTATTTATTTATTTATTTATTTATTTATTTATTTATTTATTTATTTGAGAGAGAGAGCAAGAGCGAGGTGTGAGGGAGGGGCAGAGGAAGAGGGAGAAGCAGAGTCCCCACTGAGCGAGGAGCCCAATGCCAGATTGGATCCCAGGACCCTGGAATCATGACCTGAGCCGAAGGCAGCCGCTTAACCGACTGAGCCACCCAGGCGCCCCAGAAACAAGTTTTTTATCTTCATTTTAAAAGAGTAATGATTTTTAAAATGTATTTCCCCCTCAGAAGTTTTTAGAACTGAATCAGAGATTTCAAATATAAAGTTTCCAACAATCATTACCTTAAAAGTGTGCTAGAAAGTGCAAGCAAGAGAAGAACCCAGTGAAGAAAAACAATGCTGTAAACTGTTCGTTTTTTAAAGGGAAACAAATGTGCCAGCCCTGTCTGCATGTGTACCAACTCCCACGGGAGCTCGGCTAAGGACTCACTGGGCCTGCTGGCTCCAGCAACATTCATGAACTTCCCTAACCAAGCGGCAAGTCTGCATTATGGTCAACATTATGGGTACTATTTTTCAGTTATGGTCAGTGTTTTCTGGATGCAAAGAGCAAATACAAAAATGTCTTATTGAGACTAAGACGCGGGCAGCCCTGGGCCAAGCCCCATGGAGAGAAACAGTATGTCTTGGCTCCTCTTTAAAAAGGAGGAGGAGCTGTTGTGTGCTCCTTTTCAAATTAGAACTCTGGGGTTGGAAGTACTTCGACCGGGCGCCTGGGTGGCTCAGTTGGTTAAGCGACTGCCATCAGCTCAGGTCATGATCCTGGAGTCCCGGGATCAAGTCCCGCATCGGGCTCCCTGCTCAGCGGGGGGTCTGCTTCTCCCTCTGACCCTCCTCCCTCTCCTGCTCTCTGTCTCTCATTCTCTCTCTCTCAAATAAATAAATAAAATCTTTAAAAAAAAAAAAAAAAAAAGAAAGTACTTCGACCAAAGTAAATATTTTTCCAAAGTAGGTATTGGTTTTACCTTGCTCTCTGTGAAGTTAAGTGAAACCTTATGTTGAACAGCACTGGTAGGTTTCGAAAAAATTGTATTTGTTTGAGTAGAATGAACCAGAAGACGTGTAAACTTTGCCTTCCAGTGTTTTCCACACTTGAAAGGCACGTTGAGGTGCCACTGGTCTTGTAGGGTTGGCGGGAGGAAGCTGCCTGGGTGGATCCCTGGCCCGAAATTGGGCTCTTAACACCTGTGGGCCCCCCCTCCGCGAGTCCTGGCCCAGTGAGTCTCAGGCCTTGCAGTAGCAGTCCACTTAGCAACTCTGACAAAACCTCTGGGGCTTCTGGGGTGGGATAATGCCATTTGGGCAGCAACTGCCACTTGGTTTTGATTCTCCCCAATCTGACAGGTGGCCCTTTGGTCCCCAAAAATGCAAAGCAAGGAAGAATGTACCATGTCACCAAACAGAATAACAAGGACAACCACTGTGTGTGTGTGTGTGTGTGCGCTTGCGCATGCAGGGGTGCAGGGGAGTGGGGGCCCCCAGCATCTAGAGCCAGCCCAAGTGCAGTGTTCTGAATTTTTTTCTACATTTTCAAGTTTATTGATCTTAGATTTTTAAGGGGAATAAAGATGGAATTTCAAACAATGTAAACAATGGACTTAAAAGAAATCCAAAGGGTATATCTGTGACTTTAAAGAGTCCCACAAAACCAGAAAACTTAGGTAAACCATTCAAGCATTTATTAGATCTGATAGGCCAGATATTGACATTTGGCTGAACGGCTCTACTCTGTCATTTCCCTTTCCATGGAGAAGTAGCTGTCGTGGGCGCCTTCTTAAGGACTGTAAGTTCCTGTGTGCCAAGCCTCAGTGGGACCCACAAACCCTCGGTTCCTTTCTAGTTCAGAAGAAGAGAGAGTCTACTTGGGCAGGCTCAGGAAACCTCAGCATGGTCTTTATGTCTCCTCATGTTTCCATGAGGAGGGTGGGTCCTCGTGGAGGAAGGCGTTTGTATAAATGAGGGAAGAATTCATGACCTTCTTTGCTCCAGGGGACAATGTAAAATCACTAGTTTGGGAAAGGCAGATTTCAGGCTTGAAGCTATAATTATGTGGGGGTTAAGGACCAGGAAGAAAGGTTAACTAAACTTTTACCCGCCACTTGAAACTATTCTAGTGCGTGATCTCGCCGCTTTGGTTCTAACTGTAAAACATTTGCCTTTTTCTGGTGGACAGAAGCAGTGGTTAGAGACCAGCTGGCCCTATAAGATGCAGAAGGATCTCAAATTGGCTACCTCCTAGCAGAGTGCTGGTTGGAGACGGCCCTGCCCTGTGGTGGGTGAGGCTGAGGATCTACCCCGTCACTGACCAACACTAACTCCCAGGCCTCACCTTCCTAATACACCCTGGTCCTCTAGGATTCCTGCCCAGACCCTTGTCAGTCCCTAGTGCAATCAGATTAGACATACCTGAGAGAGGAAGAGTGGTGCCCTGGTGGGTGTACTTGGCTCCCACTCTTCTGGGCTTAAGAGGACTTTGGCAATCGTCAAAGAGCTCAAGCATACAACGGAAACGACACGGGACTTTCTGCCTTCACTCAGCCTTTTCCTTCGTGGTGCTCGGGATCCCTACTGTACCCCATGGTGCTCTGGGTCCCCACTGTCTATGTGCACACACACACCAGCACAAATACAATTATTGTGCGGGAGTATTCAGAAGAGGCTAGTACAGAGCTTCCTGTCCCTCCTAGGCAGAAGAAAATGATTGAAGAGAACATGGCCCCCTGCAGAGCTGGGAGACTTGACCTTGACATCTCTGTAACAAAGAGCTCTCTGGGTCTTTGAGAAATTGCTGCACAGAAATATCAGAGCTAAGGCAAGGCTTCATGAGTGCACTTGCCCACCTAGCACAAGTAGCCCAGTTCTTTCAAAGCCTCTTACCTCCTTAGATACCCATGACCCTCGGTCATAGCAGCTCTCTACTCTCATATTATCCAAGAGTCTACATGACACTCACCTCCATAAGCCAGTCTTCAGCCAGGAAAAAGCATCACTGCAGATGACGGCACCTCTCAAGGGCCACAATATGTGGGTTCAAGAAAGGATCGTGTCAGAGACTACAGCATCACGTGTAGGGTTTGTCAGGCTACCATCTTTGGGGAAAGATCGCCATTCATGGGTAATACAATGGACCCTTGAACAATGTGTGGGGTA